AAAATAATCTTGAAGTAAATTGCGCTACCGCATCTCAGAATGATAAGTCTTCGGTATCTGATCAAATTTCTCAAGAGGCGGAATGTGATGAGAATAAGAATGTACCATTCGAAAAATGGTGTGCTTCTGCGGACTTTAGCTTATTGCAAAGCAATGAGGCTCTGCCTCTAGATTCTGACAATTCTACTTTAAAAAAAAATGCAATGAACTTGAAAAACGAGTTATTATGACTGAAGAGTGGCTTGATATGGCTTTAAAAGCGGGTAACGTTCTTGTAGAAAGATGTTCCAAACTTACCGAGACAAAGATGGACTCATAGGAGCTAATCTTTTAGTATCCTTTATTAATTTTTCAAGTTCGGATTTTCTCTTAGATGTATTGTCTATAGAAGAGGCACTTTTTTTTACTGCATGTGAAGAAGTAGAATTTCGAATCTTTGGCTGTACCACTTCTACTGATTCATCAGATAAAACTTCAGAGTGAATTGCATCATTTGTACTAGATGAATTATTGCCAGAGGTAGTCTCTGATACATATGAATAAGGTATAGGTTGATCCCAGAGAACTCTATTAGCCTCTTCTCCTCTCCAAATTTGATAAATACGTTTTGATGATGTTTTATATTTATCCAATAATTCTTTTAAAATTTTGTATCTTGGCTTTATATCACGACATTGCATTATATATGAATAATCTTCAGCTGAAAACAAAGGTGCATCAGATTTTATACGTACTCTAACCATAGTAATAATTGTAATTACTTTGTTTTTTATCTAACAAAATATATCGGAAAAATAAAAAATATAAAATATATCAGAAAAATAGAATACATCAAATATATCAGAAAAATAGAATACATCAAATATATCAGAAAAATAGAATACATCAAATATATAGGATTATATTATTTATTTAATACATATATTCTATCTAATACATTAAAATTAACACATTAATAGATATGTATATTCTATTTAATACATTATATCTTTTTTTTATATTTATTTCATTGATATATTAGCGGAGCTAGTGTTAAAACGCATATGCCTCGAATTTATACATTGTCAGATATAAGTGAAGGCAATAAACTAGGGGGTATACCATCTAGTCGATATCCACCTAATCGAATAGAACTTGAAAACCAGCTTGCTTGTGCAAATCGAGATCGAAAGATTGCTATAGAGTGTGGCAATCAACTTGTCAATAAATGTTCTGTCTTGGATAAAGACAATAAGCGTATACAACGTGATTTAAAACAATCCAATAAAGATAAAGAGGAACTCTCCAAGCATATCTACCAGCTTATAGAGGAGGTTAAGCGATTGAGCTCAGAGTTGGATAGTCTAATATCTAAGATTACCCGCAAAGACATTTCTCTTAATGAATCTAAAATTAAGATAAAAGATCTTCAGTCTAGGATAAAAATATTGGAAACGGAATTATCTTCAACTCAGAATGAATCAAAGGAAATTACAGCACTTCAGTCTATGAAAAAAATATTAGAAGATAGGTTGTCTTCAACCCAGAAGGATGTGATTTCGATTCAAAATGACTTGCTACAAAAAGAATCTGAGATTTTATCTCTTAAATCCAAAATAGCGAAATTAGAGCGGAGCTCATGCCAGAACGGAGTTCATTCTTCCAGAATAGGCATAGAAAATATAAAGAGCGAATTGGAGTCGAAGGTCAATGAACTTGAGCGTCTGAAATCAGAGGCTAAATCAAAACCCGTAGAGTCAAAGACTCATTGCTCTGCAATAATTGGTGGTGATGATGGAAAAAATATTACTAAGTCTGATAATATATCTGCAGTTAATGAGGAATCAGTGATTCGAGGCTATGCCTCACCTAGTAAAGATCTCAGTAAATATTTTGTACGTGGAAAAAATGATACCAAGATCAACCCCAAGGTAAGTGACTCACGAAGTGAGAATGCTAGCGCATCTGAAACTAGCATTAACGAAATTAGGGAGAATATTACACCCCAGTCTCAAGAAATACCGAATATGGTTCCTTACCTTGCACAACCGGAAAATAACATATCCTCTTTGATTGAATTGAATTCCCAGATGGGACCTGGTCCCGTGGCTTTGCCTCTTCCTGCTGTGGCAAGCACGTTAATGTCACCACTATCGGCATATATTTGTCTTATTTTGTTTATTATCATGGTTATGTGGTTCTTGAGACGTACATGGGGGTTTGATAGGAAAAGTGAGCGGTTGCGAGATATGTGGGTTGGATAACAAGACTATCTATTTGAACTTGGGAGTTATTTATGTATGAAAAAAAAAAATATCTCAAGATTTATATTGTATAAGTATCTTAGTGGAGTCCGCGAACTCTAACTAAAGTTACTTAACAAGATGGGTCG